TTTTCAACATTTTCCCTGATTTCTCAGAGAATAATTCATGGATATAAAAATCTGGTCTATTTAGGTAACTTATATTTTTGAGTGTGTGCAATTTGGTGCAGATCCAAATAACAATGTTGATCTAGTGAGTCAAATGTGGTTACATAAGGAGACTGTTGGGCCTAGACAGATTGTATGCATTCTACTGAGAACAGTTCTGCAACAAACTGCAAATAAAGGAAGTGAAAATTGTGTTGAAAGGGTTAAGAGTATGGCCTCACATCCTTGTTCCACCAATTAAAGGAAGGCCTCAGTCTGGTCTGCAGTGGCTTATTTGTTCATACAGAGATGCAAATACACAGTGTTGAAAGAGATATACTGTAGTATGGTATGAAACTCTTTGAACTTTGGGGGTCTTTTTCTCCACCCACAGGTGGAAATCTTGCATAAATCCCCCAAATATGCAATGGAACATGAGGGTAAGTGGCCCCAACAGTGGGTTCTCTCTACACCAAGAGGGGAGGTTCTTAAAGTTGTGTTAAATTGTAGTATTTTAGTCAGGAAAGCAAAAAAGTAACAGCGGTATGAATACGTCAGATATTGGAAAAAACTCTGGCTAGAAGGAAAGCAGCAAACCTCATCTATGTAAGATAAAAAAGTAACATTTTACTCTAAGGGACTTCAACATAAATATATTATAGAGACCTAAAAAACTGCAAGACTTTCCTGTAACTAATGAACTATGACTAATAAAGCTTGACTTAATGATCATCCCAAACTTTATTCAAAAAATTTGAATTGTATATGCTTATGTACAAAAGACAGCATGGTACAATTGTCACTTCTTTTTGAATGAAACAGACTGAGGGAAGATGGGAGGATGTGGTGGAGCTGAAGAAATGAAAGGATTTACTCTTCAGCAAGATGACGTAGGATTGGAGAGAGGGGAAATGAGAAAGAATTAAGAAAAGAAAAGATAGTTGATTGCAGCAGTCCACCATTTTAGAGTAGCAGTGAATGGCCAGCAGCCATTATTATGCTAAATTAACCTGGGAGCTGCAGGCCGCCACTCAAGATGGAGGAAAGCCTGACACCAGATAAGAGCTAGTTTACCAACACACACACAGGTCTAAGAATGAACTCCCCCTCCCCCACATTTCCTTTACCCTGTCTCTCTCTCTCTCTCACATACACACACACACTTGTGGCTGTGGAGTGGTCAGCAGCATGGCCTTCATTATCATTAGACGCCATTTTCTGCCACAAAGATTACCAACGACTCCTCCTCCAACACACGCATGCACATAAACACAAAAGGCCAGCCCCTCACTGCTTCACACACTCACTCCAGGTCTCCCATGTTCCCCACTCCCCTCCCCCGACTCTTTTCCAATGGCCGATGAATGTGTGCATGCACACTCCTCCCCCCAGCTCTGACCCCTGCCTGCTGCTTTGGCCCTCCCTCTTCCTCAGGATAAAAGGGTCTGAGAGGGACAAGAGAGGGGATTGACACTTAAAGGCTAGGAAAGGGAGAGAGAGAGGGGCTAGAGACTAAGTTATCTATGTACTTCTTTTTTTAGGTAGATGCATTTCCAGACACATTTCTCAATCTGATCAAATTGCCACCATCACAATTTAAATACCTCTGACTCCATCATACACAGATGCTCTCAACTCACATTGCTTTGGCCAAAGTATCTCTAACATATGACAAATGAATGGAGAAAAGATCTGCCCAGAAAATTGAGATGAGCCAGAGAGATAGGTTGATATCCCTGTCATCTAACTAAATGGAATGTGTTAAACAGCCACAAACATATCAAACTCATAAACTAATTGATCCTGCTATCACATCATGATCTATCTTATTCATTTGTTGCAAAGAGCTCCAGTTTGATCTTCAGTGTGCACACTGTTCGTTTGTTTCCTTCCTTATTCCTGTTTCAGAGCAGAAACGTGCACTGGGAGTGGTACGTGTAAGCACTGAATGTCACCACAAGAAGAAAAGAGGTGAAGTCAGCCGATCTTTCATCTTGTTAGGTTTTATTAGGATTATTGCTTAGACCTGCTGAGATCTGATCACTGTGAGCCTGATCACCTCCAGATGTGGTCTGACAGATCCAAATGTGTCTTGCTGCATTTCCACCTCGACTAACATTGATTCAGATACAGGTGCTTTGTTAATGAAAAGTGTAGATATTTAAACTGTCAGCTTAATTTGTTTTAGCCAAGTTTGCCTTGAGGTTTTCCCCAGTACCTGCTTCATTGATGTGTCTTACAATTTTCTGTGGTATCAAGGAAGCATCATGTCACCAGAGACACAACCATCAGGAGTGGCTGTACATCAAGAGGACTACATTTGGTGATGTGGGACTATTTGCCAGCATTCCAGGGGATAGAGTAGAGTCAACAACACCGGATTACCACCCAGGGGAAATTCACCTAGCACAGGCAGGCAGAGAAGTAGGGTTCTCTCCAGGTAAAGGAGACAGCCCTATCAGCCCTCATTTTGCCATCTTGTTTGGCTATTTCAATCCTACAAAACTGCTCAACTACAAGCATCAAGTTAATTAGCATAGCAGAGAAAACAAAACATTGGGTCACAGCCACATCATTGCATTATACATTCTCAAGGGTTCCACTGGGGAAATCTGATTCACAATTTGTTACCCCTCTTACCAAATTGCAGACAAAAGCTTAAATCAAATAAGAAAAAATTTGATTGCACTGATTTAAGTACATTTAGTGCTGGTTGTGAAAAACATAATCATCAAGTTCAGCAAGAAAATGTGCATCCCTACTAAAACGTGATATTCTACGGAAATAAAACCAAAAAACTTGAATCTCCAAATAATTACCCCTTCTACAACAGGAGTGGGGAAGCATCTTCCAATCAAGGCCCATTTCCCTTGCATACATCCTTCAAGAGTCATACTAAATTATTGAATACATGAATCACATTAACCTCTCTAATAGCCTGGCTGGTGGTGTTGCTATTTGGCAAGGCATCTGATGTAAGATGGTAGTGATGATGGTGCTACTGGTAGCTGGTTTTCTAGGTTGGAATTTATGTAGTATTTTGTCAGGCAAAACAGCTGTTTCTAAATAACAGGCTTTCCATGTGATGAAACATCTCACCAAATGCCTGTAAAAATTATGCACACTCACTAGCATATTCACATCATAGCGTGCTTTTGTTTGTGCATAGTGGGGCAATGAAAGTTGTTTGCAGACAATACAATTTTGCTTTGTCCATAGGCAGCCCCACAGAAGCCATCCCCCTACTCCCAACTCTCTTTATGCAGGGAAATGAGGTGAGAGTTAAATTCAAGAAGCTGAAAGTCAAGAAAGTGGCAGGGTTAGCTGGGATCAGTCCTGCTTTGCTGAGGTACTGTGCTGCTCATTTGGACCCCGTATTTTCCACCATATTGAACATCTCTGTAAGCAAGTGTGCAGTCCCACAGTGCTCCAAAACAGTCACCATCATTCCTGCATCAATGTTCCCCTAGATCATCTTTTCCAATGACTTAAGACTAGGGCTGCATGATATTAGGAAAACATGCGATAATCGTCTTTAATTTATTATCTAGGGCAGCAGGGGTCCGTCTGATTGGCCAAATATATTGACATGCACAGCGTGAATGCAGGGCACATTGAATACCATTTATCGCAGGTCAGGCAGTCTTTTGCAATACGTAAATCATGCATGTCAATATCACAATGACAATACATTTTCAACCTCACAACAAATATAACCCTAGCCCTAATAAACAGAGGACAACTACTACATACGACACACATATTTTAAGTCTCATCTCCAACCCCAACTCTACACGAAAGATTCCAGAGAAAAGTTAATTGCCAAATGTTTATGTCATCTGAGGAAAATTCCTTCAATATTCTCCTTTATATGCAGCCATACATGCTCTGATTAATTGAGTATGAAGAAGCTTGTGCCCTTTTAGCAGTTTTGTGTCAATTTTCCACTGTATTTAAACCTTTCTGCCGTTGAAATTCGATACAAAAATTTTGGTTTGGATACCAAGTCATAAATCCAGTAGCAGTGCCAGTGACACCAGACTTATGTTATTAAAAAAAATTATTCGAAAAATGATGGTGATAAATTTGTCATAGCGGCAGTGAGAGAAAAAATACTTTCATGCCTTCAGGAAGGCACTGCAGGTTTGCCGGCATGGAGTGAAAGCAAAGCGTTGCACACACAGGAAATATATATGGCTCGCATTTAAATACTCAGACCCAGAGAACACAGACTGCATTAGAACACTTCCTGTAGGACACCCTTTTCAAAATAAAAGCACTCCAGCATCTCTGTTGACTGAATCCATTTATTTATTTTCTTTATATTGGGAAAAGTTTGCAGGAGCGCAAGATGCATGGCTTAATACTGCGCTGCAGTAGCAGCTCCGCTGCTGAATCATAGACAGTGTGAACAAATGACAACCGCAACACGCAGCTGCTCCACGGAGCGGCCCTTCCACTGCCAGTGAGCCCCGGGCGTCATTCATAAAGTAATGATACTAATATAATTAGGAATTGTAATGTTTTTAATGGCTGGGTATTGGGATACCTTTCTAGTATCTGTATACCATGCAACACAAGTTGATATCCAAGTCTTTTATAATTATCTATCAATTATCTATCCATCCATCTCACTCACAGGATGTACACTGTGGATATAAACCTGTCACTGACTTTATGTATTACAGGTCATCCTCGGATCCTTCTGTCTAGCAGCCTATTCTCTTTGCTTCACACTCATACACGAAAAAAGTTTGTGGTATTCAGGTCTTCCACAGCTCAGAGGTTGTAACCAATTTGGTTCCCCCTGTTTGGCCACATGTGTAAGGGATCTAGTTTGTGTCTTGGTGACATCTTACATGTAATTACCGAAAAGGCCAGCTGATGAACATGTGTTCAATAATGTTCAATTGGCTTTTACGCAAGTAATTTAGTCAACCCACATGCGCACACACACAAACTGCAAGCAATGGTGCTCCTACCTTGTTTTCTTGGGGGTCTTGGTCTTGGGCATGGAGCTCTTTGCTTTCTTCTCCTTGGGCTCTTTGGGGGTCTTGGGCGTTTTGGGCGTCTTAGGGGTCTTGGGCTCCTTGCCCTCTGCCTTCTCCTTTGGTTTCTTTTTCCGCTTTTTCTTCTCTTCCACCGTTGGTGAAGATCCGTCTACAATTTCTGTGCCAGTAACCTGTTCACCTGCCTCACTTCCTGATCTATGAAATTCCGACTTTAAGTCTGCCTCTGCGCTTCCTCTTGCTGCCTTCTTCCCTCCCTCTTCTTCTTCATCCACTACTTTTGCTTTCTTCTTCTTCTTTTTTGGCTTGGTCTCCTGGTTGCTGGGCTGCTCTGTGCTGATTGGCTGGCTGGGCACACCAGCGCAAACGGTCGGCCTTTCAGGAACCATCATTGAGGCATCGCCTGACGGGTCTGTGGGGGAATGCTGGGGAAATGGGTGAGAAAGAGATCCATTAGTCTAAGTTACAACACAACTTAGAATCATACTTAAACACATGTTAATTCAAATAAAATAAAGATTAAATAACCCATTCAAAGCCAACCTAATCCACAGATAAACAATAGAAACACTGGAATTCACAAAGTGGGACAGTTAAGATGTGGCTACAGTTGGCCAGAGGCAGTGCACATATCAACAATTAGGCAATTCATAGAAAAAAAATGCCATATTTGATGATATAGTACTTATCCCATTTGCTAAAAGTGTGCCATTCATTTGTTAAGATCCAGAATTTGTTGGCCATTTTATCACAAAGAGAACATATTTAGGTTTCAGATGATTGGTCATATAAAACAAGTGATGAAACAATAAAAATGATAGCTACTGACAGACCTTTATTTTATGTCAAAAACAAATTGCTTAACTACAAAGTATAATTTAGTAAAAACTATAAATATATAAAGAAATGTATTTTTTTCCCAACAGTCTCCAGTCTGAAAATAATTCAAATTGAAGGAACAGGAACCAGCATCGCTTTTGCCTAAGAAAGTTACATGAGTATTAATCAACAATTAAAGGTTAATTGCCAATTAGTTTTCTTTTGACTGACTAATCAATTGACAGTATCAGCCCTAAATTAAACCACAATGAATGTGGATTAGCCTGAGCACATGTGCCATGAAGCATGTCTGCTTAGGTTTACTACAATGTAGGATGAAGTGTGCCAGCCTTTCTGTCAGTGCTGCTATACTTTCTGCAGGGTGAAGTATGATTTGTCAGTATGGAGGATTACAGAGCAAATGAGGAAGGATTGATCCATCCATCCATCCTTTCATCCATGCACAACTCTGCCATCTCCCCACTCTATTCAGGACTCCCTGTTGCTACGGTTCCCTCCCAGCAACTGCCTCCTCCTCCAGCAGGGCTAACCTCAGTAAACAAACCAACTGACATCTAATTTTTCCTACTCCTTTGCTCATCTGTGGACTAAAATCCTCTCTCCTTCGTCCTCCACCTCCTTCTTCTCATTGCTCCCAAGTAAGCTTTCTGTGACAGGAAACTGGTTACCAGCTGTTGGGAGCCTCTCCAGCTGCCTCTCCTCCCGTTCCTTCTCTTCTAACCCTCCCTCCCTCCCTCCCGCTTCCTCTCTCTCCAGCTGCTCAGGGTCCCAGTAGCAGATGGGAAATCAGGCATCATGACACGAATAAATTATCTCCATACTTCAAAAAGGCACAACGAGGGAGTATGTGCGCATGTATCATATGAGAGCGAGAGAGACTATGCCTTTGAGAGTGTGTGTGCATGTGCACTTGTGCTGTGTGTAAAACTGTGTCAATGAGGTGTGTGTGAGCATCAGCAAGTTTAAAGCAAAATGCTATGGCAGCAGCTCCCCTCAACACACACGCACAGCTTGGTTGTGTTCATACGGAGGAGGAAAGAGTTGGGGAGCTATAGCTGGAAGTCCACTTCCATCAAGAGAATGCTAATGTACCCTCTCTCACACACCTAACTGCAAGGTCACACATCACACAAACCCCTGCACACAAACACTTGCTGACACGCACGTAAACTGAGCCATTTAGTAACACAAATAGTCTCTGTGTGTGTGTGTGTGTGTGTGTGTGTGTGTGTGTGTGTGTGTGTGTGTGTGTTGTAGCTAGTGACAATCTGAGAGAGAGAGACAGATGAGGGGAATGTGTAGCCAGCGATAAATCTGTCCTTCTCCCAAGCTTCCTAGATAATCAATCACACAAATGACAGTGGAGAAACACAAAGTGTTTACACAATCACAAATACACACACCCCTGGAGTCCTGCATCAGATTTGGTGTTCTGCATAGGGACGTTAACATGCCAATGTGCCTACTTGTACTGGGTTAAATGCAGTTCTCCATCAGGGATGAAAAATCTCATTGTTCTTCACTGAAGAACCATCCAATTCCAAAAACAGGCTGCAATACTGTCCCCACTAACTGAATTTAATAATAAGATTCATACAAAACTCATACAAGCAGAATATCTCCATGGTTATTACGACCGACAGACTGAGGTGGGGAAGAGAGTCGAGTGCCATTACGATCACCATAGAGGGAGGACAGAGTGAGGATGAAGGCGAGTAAAGAAGTTGAGGGGGGAGGTGGGAGCAGGAAGAAGAGTAAGATGAAGGCTGAAAATCTGTCAGGAAAACACACTTAAGTCTCCCCAGGGATGGGGTGAAAGGAAATCACGTTATCTTTTATTCAGCTTCTCCCCTCACTCTATCCAGCCATCCAGTTCTTCCTCCATCCCATCCAAGACTGACCACTGCTAAATATCAGTAAATTATGGTCAGGCACACTAATCTAGGGCCCTGTTTACATCCCTCCTGAGACATCCGATCACATGTGGACAGCCTTAGGTTTGTGTGTTCACACCTAGCATTAAAATGGGGCCTGAATGTGTCTCTTGTGACCAAGTTGCGATTGGAACCTACTTCCCTGCACTATTTGCAAAATAAACATGAATGTTATTTGTGTCCATGAAAACTAAATTATGTTGTGTTTATCCCATCTTAGTATAGAGATGTGTCTGATATCAATGTGTAGGTATGTAGGTGTTTGTGTGAGCATGTGAGAGAGTCAGGGAAACAGGCAAAGAGAGAAAGAGAATGGACACTGATGTGGACAACGTTTGGACACTGATTTGATTAAATTTACGTTTAAAGTGCAGCATTACAGAGTGATGAGTAGCCTGTGACGGATTTGCCTTCACACAGCAAAAAGAAAGAGGCCACTAGGGTTGGGCAATTGGATGAATATATTGTCTAACAGCGATTTGCTGAGTCCATCCTGATCAGATCACCCAGGGCAGATGTTAATAACTGGCCTGAACAGGGTCTAGAAGACTTATCCAACAGCACGAGACCTGTTTGACTTTGCTTTCAACTCTGGCCTCTATTTGTTTCCCCACTTCCTGTTGTGCACATACTAAGACACAAGACTTTGTATTCTATTTTAATCCTGATTTAGAGACAATTTGATCATTTTAGAAATAAACACATCAACACCTGTCTTAGCTCTTGAGCTGAGGTGGGATTTCTAATAAATCACACAATCACCAAAAACCGAGATGAATCAGCTAACTAAGAACTAGCTTGGTAAGGTGACCACACATTCTGGTGACATTTATCCTCAAAGAGAATTATCTGTGTCATCTTTAATGACAAGGATGCAGCCAAACTGAGCTGCTGTGACGCTCCATAGGTGGTTTTTCCTTCAATTACTATTAAGGTGTCCATTGTCCAGTCAGGGCAGATGACACACCAACAATGATTTCTGATGAAACTTAAGAATCAAGCACTCTTTTAACAAGTGATGAGCACTTTCAATTTGATGAGTTTACACAAACAAGGAGAGGACAAAACCTTAGAGAAGCATGCCCTCGAAGCTGCAGAGTCGTGGTGAGATAGATGGTACGGCAGCTCACTGACAGCGTGTATGAGCAGGGGGAGGGGCGGGACAGGCATGTTATATGTCAGCTAGAGTGCTGCACGCAACATTGTGTGCGTGAGATGTAGAATAAAGGTCACAGCACAGTACTCTGCCAGAGCTGTGACCTTGAGCTGCTGACGAAGACACGCGCGTGCGCATGTGTGCGTGCATGTGTAATAACCATGCTTAGTGAACAGATGGAGCTTAGAGTACCAGACATACAGTCATCATGACTGACTGGCCAGCTTGGGGTGTGTGTGTGGCTCTTTCTAACAAGTGCATCATGAGGCTCAGAGAGAACTCCCTTCCTGTGCTGCAGACAGACACGGACACACACAATAACACACATATGTACAATCTTACTCCTCTAGATAGGCTATCCTATTTCTCTAGGCACATTTGCCATCCCATTCCTGACTACACCATCTCAAGCCACACAGTCAGAGTGTATGTGTGTCTGCATGTGTGGGTAATGACGGGGGCTGCCGGGCCTGCAGCTAGAGTCAGGGCGGCGCACGCAACCTGCCCAGGCGAGGACCAGGGCTCACCAGTCAACCTGGCATCTAGGTCAGAAGTGCTGGATAAATTAAGTGTGACGGCTGAAATGTCAACCAAAAAAATGCAACAACGCAGGCTTGGTGGTGGTTGGGGGGTGGTAAGCGAGCAGAGGGTTGTAGTGTGGACAAGAATAAAAGAGAAAAGGAGACTAGATCTGTGTGTGTGTGTGGCCACAGGGCAGCTATTGTGTGTGAATGGGTCAGTGGAGAAAGGGGGCTTTGAGCAACAAAACAAGCTAATGGAAGCCAAGGGCACGTGACGAAGGCAGCGGTGACTGTGCACGCTCACACACAAACATGGAAGTTGCCATTGAGAACTGCTAACCTCTTCCCACCAGCACTCCCCTCCTTCTAGTCTCCTTTGCTAGAGATCCTGGACTCGCTCTCTTGAGATCTTTGCTTGTTTTCCCACTTCATTCCTCTTAGTGTTTTCCCCCTCCCCCAATCTCTTAATCACCCTCCAGCTTTTTTCCTCTCAAAGTCTCCTCCTTTCATAAACCGTCTGTCTCTCTGGACATCCGGCTACACAACATTAACTAAGAGATGACACCCCTGAAATGGATAAGACAAACAGCCAGTCAGGCAGACAGACAGGCAGAGAGAGAGCGGAAAGAGAGGAGACGGGGAGAAAGGAGAGACAGGAAGGGAGGTTTCCTCTACAGAGGAGGGGGAGATGTGGGAGCAAGAGGGAGGAGAGATTATGCTGGTGGCGCCTCTCTGTGTGAGCATGCATGTGTGTATGTGTATTGCACACGTGTCTCAGGATATGCAGCTCACAGGAAACAAACAGCTGCAAAAATCTATTCCCTCACCGCATACACACATGGAAACACAACCACACACAAGGCCGACTGAACACACAAAAAGGAAAAAACGCTGATATGAACACACGTACACACAAAACCCCCATGCCCAATGCACCGCTGTGTTTTCAAATGTCATGTACACACATCTATGCACGCACACACCACACACTTCCCTTGCACTCCAAACACACACATTCCCCCACCCACATGAAAAATAAACATTCAGATGAAATACACCCACACATGAAAACAAATGTCGAGACTTCATCTCTGACACACACACGCGCGCACGCACGCTATCACATCAAAGGGTTTGTTTGATGGAGACTCACCTGTACGTGAGGCACTTTTTGTGGAGTAAGAGGGGGTGAGGAGAGTGGGTGGGGGGCAGTAGGCGTGGATGCCCATGGGTTGGATCCCTGGGCAGATTGGGGGGGTGTGCTCTGCAGGTGCTGGGGGGGCAGGTGTGTGTGCTGTGTCTGAGCGTTCTGGGAGGGTGGTGCCAAGCCCTGGTTTGAGGCTGGAGCTCCATGTTGACTGACAGGTGCACCCTGGAAACCCATGGGAGCGGACTGCAGGGGCTGCCCGCCTCGTGAGGACTGCTGCTGTGCTTGGAGTAGACGCTGGTCTCCCCCTTGGCTGACTGGAGCTTCATGAGGTCCTGGGAGTAGAGAAGGAGAACACCACAATGTCACCACTAACTGTATTAAAGTATTATGCCAGTAACAATGTGTTTCACTTCCTGTCCATCAACAGACAATGTTGGTGAGTACACAGCCAGTACTCACTTTCCTTTTTTCTTTTCTTAAAATCACCAAAAGCTTTCATAAAATACTGTAATTGACATCTGTTTGCAGAAAGGACATTTCTAATACGGAGCAAAAATAGAGTACAAAGATTATTTTGCTTTTTGCAAGCGCTGGAAAGTGTAATGACATGGATGTTTCTAAATTACTTCAGTAATTCACTTGTCTAACTGTGGGATCAATTAGAGTTAAGTAACTTAAGGGTGTCTGGTTGATCCCTATTCAAACAGTGTTTAAATGTTCTGTATACAGTTGGTGCAACTGCATCTACAGCATGTCTGTGCCCCTGAAAAGATCCTCATGACAGTTCTGTTCGCTATATCGATCAACCCTATCATCTGGCAACACACAGTGTTGTCCTTATGTCCATCTTAGTCTAAATTCAAACATGAGATACAGGGTATATAAACAAACATGTCAGCTATGTCTCTTTATCATTTCTCAATGTTTCAATTTACCTAACAATTTCTCACAGTTGAAATTTCATCTGCTCTAAAGTAAATAAAATGCTTGAATAGGCACCAATTAACTGAACAAAGTGACACTCATACACAAGCAACATGGGACAGCATTAACTTTCTGGTGCTTACCTTGCTGAGGCCTATTTGGACCCATTTGTTGACCACGCTGCGGCCCCATATTGGGATATATCTGCCCTGCATTGGGGGGCATGTTGTGGGGCTGCTGGTGTTGAGGGGCAGATAAAGGGTTTTGCGAAGTTCTCTGTGGATGGGGCATAGCATTGGGTGGAGACTGTAGGGCTGTGTACCCTGCAACCTCTGGGGGCCCAGCTAGTCCTGCACTAGGGGGTCTGCCCTGTTGGGGAGGAGGGGTTGGGGTTCCCAAAACCCGCATGGGGGACATAGATGCGGGGGAGGGGTAAGATCCCTGAGCTGGGGGGGCAAGGTGGGACTGGGGTTGATTTTGGGACTGGGGCACATTCTGGGGGTGTTGAGTGTGGTTTAATGGGTGCATAGGCTGGCCCTGCTGCCCTGTCTGCTGCTGCATAGGGGCAGAATGCGTTGGAAGGGGCTGGGGTTGGTGTGGTGGTGCCGGGGGATATCGCTGCCCCTGCTGCCCAGCTGCTGGGCCTGATCCATGGTTAAACCTCTGACCAAGCTGCCCTGTTCCCAATGCCTGGCTGGTGTTAGTACTGACGGTAGTATTAGCACTCTGGCCCATCCCAGGTCCAATGGCTCCATACTGGGCCTGATACCCAGGGTACTGGCTTCCCCCAAACCCACCCATACCCTGTTGGTGCTGGTGGGTATGCGGAGGCTGTCTAGAGGGGGAGTGTGGATATTGGGGTGTGTGACCCATGTTGGGATAGCCCTGGGGGGTTGGTTGGGGCTGTGGGTGTCTCATCTGGGCTCCTCCCATTCCAACATGTCCCATGTAGTGAGATGGGTCCTGAGCAGGTGGTGGTGCCATGCTCTGTGGCGGATAGTGTTGGTTCATGCGAGCTGCATTGGGTGTAGGTGGGCCTTGCATCCCACCATAGTTGCCTTGAGACATCTGGTAGCCTCCCATCTGATTGGGGCCACCCCCTGGTTGTGTTGGAGGCGGCTGATATGCTGATCTGCTCTGTTGTTGTTGTTGTTGCTGCTGCTGCTGCTGCTGCTGCTGCTGCTGCTGGCCCCAAACTCCACTCCCACCTCCTCCTGCCCCAGCCTCTCCTGGGTACCCGTGGTGGGGGTTACTTGAGTTAGCTGGATTATTATGGTAGTGGGAAGCCATGCCATTCATGGCCACATTCACATTTGGTGGCCCCTGGCTGGGACCATTCTGGGCCATCATTCGTCCTCCAGGTGCACCAGATTGATCGTAGCCTGTGTAGGGGACATGGTCATACATTTGCCCCAATTTAGGCTGCCCTGGGCCACTCCCAGCGGCATGGATCATCCCCTGGTGGTAACCCCTGCTTCCCTGGTGCTCATGGTTCAGAGAGGGATTAGTCTGCTGAGCTAGGGGGTTGGACTGGCCAGGGGCAGGCTGCTGAGGAAAGCAGCCTCCTAAAGCATCTAATCCATCTGAGAACAGCCCTGCATCGTCCCCAAATAGACTCAACATCCCTGGGTCCGCCATGGCTGGGTGGGGGGCCCACAGATGGAGGGGACTAGATGGAGGAAGGTGTGGTTTGCAGTGAGGAGCTAATCAGATAGCTGCTAATTTGAAGCTTGTTACTCCATGGTCCTCATTACAGTTCCTGTAGAGACAGATAGACAGAGATTAGAGTATTCTATTATGTAAATGTACTTATTTTAAGTCTACTTTTTATGAAATATCTTACTTAGTCAACAACTTAACAGAAGTTGTTTTTCCTATAGAAGCTAGCAAGCATGCAAAAAGAGTTCCTCCAGTCAACAGATTAAAAACTGGAGAGATTATTTACTACAAATGAGAAGCAAACAATTGTAATTCATTGTTTGGAACTACTGAACATTTCATGTGGATCAAGTTAACCAGCCTCATAAAAACTACCTTTAAAAATTACAGCAGCCATATTAGGTGTTAGGCAGAAGTGCAACCGATTTACTTGAAAGTTAATCTGTTCAAACCAACCCCAAAAAAACTTCAGTCACACCCAAAACACTTCATATTAGCACTGCCTCCAAACCCGTCTCCGTTTTATTACCAAACAAAAGAACGTCTTTCTTTTTCAACACACACACACATTCAATGACTTCCAAGTGTGTGTGTGTGTGTGTGTGTGTGTGTGTTAGAACAAAGGCCCCAGCAGATGCAACTCTGTTTGAACAGCAGCAGCTGCCATCCAGTCAGCAAGCAATCAGCCAGCCAACAGAGCAGAGAGGCTTTCTATGCACCAGTCAGTCAGTAGTTAGCTAGTAGGTCAGCAAGCCATTCAGCTGTCTGACTAGCTACTCAGTCAGTCCTGGCAGATGTGAAAAGACAAGGGCCTGTGCTCGTTTGTGGATTTCCCTGGATATAAAAGGAAAACAAAAGTGTATACTACAAGACTACTTAATTATTAATAAAGTAGCTGTATTTGTGTGAGGAAAAATTCAGTACTCATGGGGTGTGTGGATATAATCAACATCTGAAGTACTGGGTGACTAAATCAACAACCCAGTCTGCAGTGAGAGGGTAAAAGGCACTGTAAGTTGATCTAAGCATGCATGATGAATGAGTAGGTGTGGGCCATAGCGGAGACTGAGATGTGATAGGGGAGTATTCATTGATGCTTCAATGCACAGCAAAAAACCACCCAATCCGACTTCTAATACTACAGATTTCCCCTCCCCCTTCACCATACCTCTTTCCTCCTCCACAATTCCTCCCCTTAACTAATTCATTACCAACAGCAGGTATCAGGGCAAAATGTTTGATTACTTCCTCACATGAAATAGAATGTATAAATGAATTTGACCTTTATAACAATAAATATGTTATACAACTAAACTGTGCAGAGTACATTGCACAAACACTGGGGGTACAGGTGGTTTTGGCTAGGCAGCTCTGTTTTAGAGGAGCATCTTAAGTCTGAGTGGCAGGCTAACAGCTGTGTTTGACTCTGCAGCCAGTTCAGGATGCACCCCACCTCTCCCCTAATGCATCCTGGGCAGCTCACAAGCCTATTACATATCTGTCCTTTACCATTATTTTGTCCTTTTATCCAATTATCAGCATACAGAGATTGGGAAAATAGCATTTAATTAGCCAGCCTTTTGTGACGGGAATATTTTACAAAAAGTTTTAAAACTATGTGATTTGATTTCTTTGAATGCTTTTAAATCCTTTCTATATATATATATATATATATACACACACACACACAATGTGTGGTGGCTTTGCTCAAAGCTATAGAGCTAACAGTTAACAAGGAATGACTTAAATGATCACTTTACTGAATTTAGAATCATGCCTGGATGCTAGACATATCACCTGTAACGTAACTTGTGTTGTGGCCCTCGATCTAGAAACATCCTAAATTGAAGCAAAGTTTCATGTATTTTATGAATTATTCATTTAGCCAATAAAACATAAAACAGTTTCAGTGCCATAGGTGACATCTGATTATCAACAGACAAGAAACTCAACGATATTCTGTTTACAATGATTTTAAAAACAGAAAAACTGCAAAGAACTAAATAAGTAAGTGTTTGGCAAATATATCCTAATTTATAAATTAATTGTACAACTCTCAAATAATCTCACTCAAACCAACAGTTATTACACAGAGTAGCGATTCAGCAGCTGATAGAAGACTTGTGTTTAGCAACAACATCCATAGTACTATAAGCAGCATCTATGAAACTGTTGTTACATCACTTCCTGTGTATTTCAATCACTACAGGAAGAAAAAAGTTAGTGTGTAGCAGGTGAGAGTAATCAAGTGCATTTTCACATCCTTTGCTGCAAGCTACTACAAAGGCAAGTGATTTCCTGTCAGTACTGCCACACACACTATGTTATGCTGTGAAATCTACAATATAGCTATATAAGCACTTGCTGGCTACAGTGTGTGTGTTTGGATGAGAGATGGCAGCTCTGGTTGAAAGTAGCAAGCACAGACATTAATATTCTTTTTATATCTCCTTCTGCCATGGAACAGACTAGCGTTCTCTCGTCCATTTCAGCACAAGCTTGAGCATGAACACACACACACACACACACACACACACACACACAC